AGAGAGAGAGAGAGGATAAGTTCTTTCTTGTATTGAATGCATAGTTGTTGAGGTGTGTTCCATCTTGTAGTTTGACGACGATAATATTTAAGGTTTGAGAATACATAGAATAATCTACATGTGAAGGGACGGAAGAAGAACCGGTCTTGGCGAAGCACAACAAGATTTTATTGATAGAAGATGTATTTTTATGAAATTAATTGATATGTTCTCCCTATTTATAGAGGTTATGATCAACAAAGCAACGAGATTTTCTCGTACAAGAAATCTTATCTGATATCATCACCCACTCTTTGGAATTCTTGATAAGCCGAATTGCCAATCAAATGTTTAAGTCCAAGTTAATGATAGTTATAAGTTCTTATAAATCGATTTAAATCTTTTCTTACGCTTTGACGTGGCACTAAACAAAAGAGCTTGAAGAACAAGTGTCGTAAGACTTCATTCTGAACTCATCTGTGCCACAACATCATCGATGCTTTCTCATCGATTCTTCAAGCAATAAAACATATCTATGTACAAGATCTAAATCCGATGTTGAATTATGCATGCAAGATTTGTATCCACTGCATAGACTTTTTGTTCCCGAATCTACAGAGAATAAATCTTAAAGCTGTCTTAATCGAAGACTGCAACTCTGCAGTTCAGAGGAGTACAAAATTCTTTCGCGCATGCGCGAAAACCCTATCCGTGAGCATGACTTGGAAGACAACGATGGAGCACATGAAATTAACGAGAGTTAGCTTTGTAAACCATGCCCTTAAAAGCATGCTTACTTGTGTGGGCCTTCACGCCTACCCTCTCTGAATCGTCAACACACTTCTCCACTCGTCTTTGTTAAGGTTAGGTCAAACTGTTACAAAGAGAATCTCCTCTCTCTCTCTCTCTCTCTCTCTCTCTCTGTTCATACTTCACCGTGATGTGTAACAACACAGATTCGCCATTAACATTTCATATATCCATTGAATTCTTCAAAGAGAGAGAGAGAGAGAGAGAGAGAGGTGTTTATCTTCTAGATACTATATCAAATTGGAGAATACAACATGACGTGATGCTCGAGGGCAGTGTTTATCTTCTACACACTACATTAATTTGGAGAATACAGCTTGAAATGATGCGAGTAATATTATATACCGAGGTAGAAAATAGAGTTGTCTTTATTCCTGTTCCCACTCTCACGCGTGGTGTCGTACGTAAGATGTACGTAAGCCATGCAGGTGATGACCTATGCCTCCGAGTATCTCGACGACTTCGGGGGAGAGTTCATTTACGTGATTCGATCCAACTCTATAATAGAATATGGAATTGCTAAAGTTAGATAGATCAATAAATTTATTAGATCCAACGTGGATCTTCTATCCTTAACTAGTAACTCGTTCATATCTGACGTATGATGCAATAACTTATTTGAGTGCGAAGATTATCTTCCGCTTGGTCATCCTTAGGTTCTTATCGGATTCAAGTTCGGATCCTAAATGAATCATGCTCGAATCATATCAGAACATTTGAAAAGTATGGTTATCATTGTGACGCATCAACTACTCTTACCTAACACTGACAAATGTTCTTCCTCCCTTTCAGACGATGGAGACTTATCATTCAACTGCATAAGCATTTGGTTGCATTGAACTTTGGAGAGCTCCGCAAGTCGATCGCAACAAGCAAGACAAATGTGGATTGAATGGGGCTTCTTCTGACCCCACTCACCTTTCACATGCAATCTTCCACATTATTCACTCAATATCAACAGCAACAACAACAACAATAATAATAATAATAATAATAATAATAATAATAAATATATACTTATATGAGTTTTAATAGATTAAAATATCTACTATATCCTTAAGATTAAGCATCATGATAGAGGAATTTTTAATGATATTTAGATAAATTAAAAGTTTTGACTAATAATTGACATTCAATAATCGATGAAGATCGTACTAAAACACTTTCTTCAAAGGACTAAAATATATCGTAGAAAAGCAAATATGACGAATGGTGAGTGCCCACATCAAGAGCCAAGTTAATTGCCTATGCAACTCAAAATTAATGGTGAGTGCGACGTGAACGACTAGCACGCCACCATGAACGAGTAGCGGTGATGGGTGGCGTTGGATTCGGCGTTCGAAGGGTGTGGTTTCCAAGTCGACATGGAGGCGTGTGGGAATGCGACGATCCGTTCGTCACAGCTTCGATCACTAAGTGATAAGAAATATTTTGAGCCCAATCACGATCAATGTCATACACCAATCCGTACTAAGAAATTATTTGACCCACGTGCCACTATGCCAGCCCGAGAATCAGCAAAGGGAACACCCCTCCACGCCAATTCAAAATCTGTACCGAGACACGGGTTCGACATGTCTCGTCCCGAGAACCCGGGGCGGTGTCGTCTGACGTCGCTCCGCGTGTCCTGAGACGACGGTCGGTTAGAAGTATCGTCTCAACTCTCGAAGATCAGGGGCCATGTCGAACCCGTGCGCAACTGACCCTCGTACAAAAATATAAAAAGCCCCTGACCAACATCCGTTTAAAGGGGAGAAACAATTCGACCCACAATTAACTTGCTCGTCGGAGGGGCCAAAATCGAAAATCACCCGACGAAGGTTATTTTTGCAGGAAAGCAGCCACCTACGACCCGCGAGCGTCCCGACCTCGGAAGTCGCCGACCGAAGTCCCTAAGGCAAGACATCAACCGGTACTCGGACCGAGAGACACTGATTAAGACCTCGTCGCAAGGGCTCGGTCGACCTCGGCATCCAGCTCGGCCGACAAAAAACTCCCGACATCGACCCGTGGACCAGGCCGTGCTGACTCACCAGCGACGACACGTTTGTTCACCGACAACAAGTAGGGGTGACCTGAAACCGGAATCGAATCGTCCCGATAGTTCATTGATTTCGAATGGAATCAAATCATTTTGAGTCGATTTCGATTTGCCACTTAATTTTTGAAAAAT